ATCCTCTCTGTATATCTGACTTTCCAATAAAAATTAAAAAAAGGAAGATTTTCCTATGAACTTAACCGTGTTTCTCTAGTATATTTTTCTTTGCCTTCCCCCTCTTAGCTAAAGAGAAAAAAGGATATTTTACTTAATTGTGTGTTTTTGTGTACACACACATATATATCTGTTTTTTCTTTTGTTATTCTAGTGTAGCTTAATAGTATATTGTCAGGGACTGGAAGTAATAATGGTGTGTCAGGTTCAAGGTTACAAATATGAGTGAACAGCATCTTGCCCCTTGAGGATTGCTTCATGATGTATGGCAGGCCTGAGAGCCCACATACTGTATGGTAGTTGAAATAAAGAATTGGAAGTAAGTTCTGCAGTACCAGTGAGAAGAAAACATACACTGGCACATTTATGATGTCATTTTCTTATATCAAAGAACTATTATAGTATATAAGCTATTTGAAGGTAAAGGTCTTTTTTTTTTCATTATGCATGAACTGAGTGAATTTATATAAAACACACCAGGAGACTCTTCTAAAGTAAGGGATTATACCTGAACTATCATACCACAAAGAAGACAGTTGATGACAGAAGTAGATTTGTATCTCTAAGCGTCAAGCCAAAATCTTGGTCTGGAATAGGAATAAGGAAAACCAGGCTTTAATTCTGACTTGTTTCATGATGCCATGCATTTCCTATCTAAACTGAATGGGTTTGGCTGCATGTCTCTAACTTCCCATTCTGCTCTTAAACTTGACGATGCTCTGTGTCAGCGTTCCAGGGGCAGACACATCGTAGCCAAGCCCAGGTACATATGCCACAAGATCCAGTGATTTGTTCATATCAGAGGCATTCACATCTCAGCGATTCTAAACTGGGGCTGAAAGTTTTGACAGCTAGAATCAACAGAGGTACTGAAGGTTGAAGGTGATCACTCTGTGATTTACTTTCCCACTTTCTCAGCCCTGGAGACTGACACAGAAGGAGAGGAGCTGCAGCTCTTAGAGCATTCCCCTAGCCGCATGCGTGAGCAGGAATCCACATCACGCTTGGCGTGTTTGTTGGTAGGGAGACTCTGGAGTGACTGAGTGAAAATTGAGACAGAGTTAACCTGACAGTTTGAGAGCTTAAAAGCATCGATTAGTGACTGCACAAGAATTTGACCTTCCCACTGCCTCCATACTATGTTTTTAGATCTGACAGTGGATTTTTTTCTGTGGTTGTTTTGTTTTCCTTTAGAGAAATTCTAATCCTTTCCTACTTTAGAGTGATTATTCTATCACAACAATAAAGGGTATGGTTTAATAACTACCCGGAAGTATAATTTTAAGATCCTATAAACCAGTGTTTGTAGGATTTCCTAGAACACAATACCGAGGTTTTATTAGGGCGTGTCCTCAGCCCACAGTCTTGTGTTATTCAGCTAGGGAAGATGAAGTGCCAGTGAGCAATGAGCATCAGGACGTTGAGCCCAACTTGTCCTGCTGCCTTTTGGCAGATATTCATCTTACACTTTTTAATTAGGTGACAAGGCAGCTCACAATATGACAGTCAGTGCTAATAAAATTTACATAAGACACCCAGAGAAATTAAACAGCTGCAAAGATGATCACTTTACACTTTTCTTTCTATTTGGGACAATAAAAAAGTGTGAATTGAAAACCTAAAAGAAAACTGGAAGTTGGTTTACATTTAGTGGGAAAGAAATAAATAAAAAAGTCAAACTCATAAATATGGAGGTATCTTAATTTTGTTTTTTTGACAACACACAACAGCAACACGTGCTATTTATCTCTCCTAACTGAAGAGTGCTGCTGAAATGGTTGTAAATGGTATGCTGGTTAATAATGACTTATGTGTTACTGCAGAACTAAATTTTCACAAATAAAATTACAACAAATTCCAGAGTTTTTGTTTCTTCTTATAGATATGAATATGAAGGAAGAAATAATTCAGGAACTCAGGAGAAAGAGAACTCAGGGAGTACAGACTTCATTGCTACTACAGCACTTGCAGTTTCTTGGACATTGTTGAGGGTCAGCCAAATTTACCCAGTTTGTACAATGAGTTAACTATTTTCAACATGTCAGGCACTTAAAAATTCCTTCATGAACAATAGCGCTCTCATTTTAATTTTTCATTTTCATTCTTAAATCTATTTAGAAAATACATGACTATGATTAATGGAAAATTCTAGCAACTTTAATTTCAATAAAATGAAATCATATAAACGATAGAATTTCTTTCATTAAGAAAAATTTAGTATTGAGTTATTTAAAAGCCTCAAGATAGGTTATATTTTGATAACCTGTATGAAAATTCCTAAACATATAAATAATGATAAAAATTGTCATTTTTCACACTAAATATTTTATTTTTAATTAAAAATTTATTAAATTCTTAGGGTTTTTAAAAATTAATTGTTTGCCTTGTTTTTTATGAAGGACTGCTTGGGAATTGCTTTTCTCATGCTGCTCAAATTTAGAATGTAAACAGCAATTACAAATGTTGGCTTGTGCATACATGTACCTTTTAGGGCTTCCAAAATGACATAATTTTCCAAACAATGACAATATCTTCTAATTGTCATTTGTGTTCCCAGTCAGCCAAAAGAAAATTTTCCATTTGATAAACAATCAATATTTAAAGTCATCATGCTAAATAAAACATATCGCAGATGCAAACTTTGTAATTATATTCACTCTTCAAAAAAATGAGGCAGTGGCAATGCCATCTACAAAGAACAGATATAGTTCTTTATTGTAAAAGCTCATATAGTATCAAGAAGAGCAATTTGTCAGATTTCTTAGAATATCTTCTCACTATCTCTTGTTTTAACCTAAGGAAAAAGGAAATCTTGGGTCCGTTGATGGATTATCTATAAGCCCCCTGTCTGGAACCCTTTTATTTTGTTCTCTCAATTGCTGCAACTTAAATTATATATATTTCACATATACACCTGTGTGAGAAAGACTGGATTTGTTATCACAAATTTATCAATTTTATAAAAGTTTTGAGCTTTTTGGAGTAACCATCTTTCATGAAATACAGTGCTTTCCCATATAGAATTCAATATTCAATTGTGACTTTATGCTTTATGCTTCTGCTCCTGTATCTGTCTGTACAACATATGTGTAAGTATGTAATGTAGGTGGTCAAATTACTGGGTGGGCAACATAAGTGGCGTCTGCAGTTGGAATAAACACAAATAAGGCAGTATTCATGATTAAGAAGTCAGAATCATGCATGGCTTACTGGAGCAGGGAGTTTTAGAACACATTGCTTTACTTTTTATTAACATTAAAATAACAGATTTTATGTATCTCATAGATGCAATTCTAAAATACACAAACAGCTCATAGTAAATTTCCTATTCTTTTTGCCCGTTAGTTTTCCAATAGCATACTTTCAATTTACTTGTTAATCGTGGGCCAAATGCAGTCACAGCCACAATGTTCAGCAAGTACAAGGTAGAAAGATCATTTCTCCTTAAGAATACGGCAAAGGGCTACAATCTACAATCATATCGTAAGATGTGAATTTCTTTCTTACATACTGGTTTTGCATTCTATATTAGCTCCCACATCTAACACAAAATATATATTATTTGTTATTTAGGGAGTGGAGTATTTTACTTTACGTAATGATCCCCAGTTGTGTCAGGATGATGAATAAGGTTGCAATCCTCCACTGGCTTTGAGAATGTGTTGTATCTTATTCGTCTTTGGATACTCTAGAGCAACTAACCTAGCTTCACACATAGCAGATGCTCAATAATCATGTGCTGACTGCATTCTGTAATATAGACAGAATGACATGTGTTTATGGAATATTGAGAAACAATTATCTCCAGGTGAGAGACAGAAGATGGTAAAAAGTCTGTTTCACAGTAATTTCTCATTACTCATGATGTTACCTCTCTGCCAACTGCTTAGCAGGGCAGCATCTACTCTGTCCTCTGCAGCTAGTTTATTGATTGTATGGGTCAATGCAATCTGATGCATAAAGAACCAACAAAGTGGGAGGCAACCTTTTCCTGGATAACTGCTAAGAAACAGGGAGGTTATATTTCACACATCCTAGTAGAATAACCCACACAAATTTACATTATTGGTAATAGAAACCTAAAACCAACAATTATCCTCCACTAGTAATCTAATAATAGCAAAAATATTAAATGTACAGAAATGTGAAAGACTAACTCTAAAGAGAAACTAAATCTATATGAGAACACATACGCTGTTGTACACACATTTGGATATATGAAGATCTTATTTCCAGATAAGTTCAGTGGCCTCTTGGGGAGACCTTCTATGGTCTGAAAATAGGTCTAACAGAGTAAAGATCCAGTCAGTTAAAAGCCCCAACGAGGCCACAGTATCAATATACAACTTATCTGGGAACTTATCTGGACAATAAGACGCTGAACTTTATGCTAGGCATGTGTCTGCAAGCAATGAATCTCAACCGAACTTGAACTATGGTTATGCAACAAGGTGGAGGAATCCACCATGGGGGGAGGGGTATGGGAGGGGTGGGGGGAATCCCTAGCGCCTATGAAACTGTACTACACAATACAATGTAAGCAACAATAATAAAAAAAAAAAAAAAAAAGATCTTATTTCAAAATATTACAATAGAGTGGCTCTGGATTTCTACCTCATCAGATAGCCAATGCTGAACCATTTTTCTGCTAGGCAATGCTTATATTACATGAAAGTAAACATTATTAGTTTAGAGGGAAAAGACAATGAAACAACAACCTCAATGTAAAAATTTCCAAACCAACCAACGAACCAACTAACCAATCAACCAAACACCTCTCCCTACTTCCATACACTTTCCGTTTAAAACAAAAACACTATTAAAGAATAACAATACTAAATGAAAGAGTGATTTGTGTTATATATAAATTTGGTATATTCAGTAAAGAGTCTGAGACAAATGAGACCCTCAAGGCTGCCACTGTATTGCCTTCCAACCCAAGAAAGAATGTGAAATGTTACCTGCCAGAGAGGGTCTTTTTGGTCAGGGAAGAGCTCGAAGTACTTGTGAGCCAGTTGCACTGGAGGCAAAGTTTGCAGCTTCAAGTTGGTCCAGCTATGCACAAAGTTGGCCAAGTTCACAAAGGTGTATAACCCTAGGCGGTCATTCCCGTAGTTAGACAAGTGGGTCATGAAAATGCTGATCTAAAAATGTAAACAGAAATGACCATAAAATATACACACTTAAGCTCCACATGGCACCTAACTTAAAATTGAACTTTTGTGGAAAACATCTGTATTTTTTGTGGAAAGCTCTCATTTAACTTTTATATCAAATTCAGATTTTGATTAAATTTTGATCTAGTTGGGTAAATTATGCATGCAAAATGTAACAAGAAAATTGAACATTCTCAACTACAACAATATTAATCCTCTATCTCATAATATTTCAGACAAGTGTCTTAGAAATTCATTTTACCTCTTACAATATGTACCAGAATATCATTCAATCTGCACATTGCAATAATTTAAAAGTTGACATTGAAATTCCTTCACAGCTATCCACAGCATTACATTTTCTATCAATTATTTCCTTTTTTCATGTAGAGCAATCACTATAACCATCAAATAGATCTAGTAATTTCCAGACTACCGTAAAATCAGAATTAGATCTGTCCTGAAATTTAACAATTGTTCCAGATGTTTTGTGGTATATATATGCATGCAACTTTAAATGGAATTCGATTTGAGAAAACTTCTTTCTTTGTGGTCCAACGAAGACTTTCTACTGTAGTGAAGAAATTGTTTAGTTCTCTACAGAAAGTTACTGTAGTAAAGAAATTGTTAAGTTCTATGCCGAAACTTATGACATGTATGACCAAGCTCTTTCATACTTGTGAATCCTTTTATTGTTTTTCACACATCAACATTAACTCTTAAAAATACCACAGCACCTTACCTTAGGTTTCATGTAGAGCAAAGACTAAGGAAAAGCAGAACATAAATAATTCTTCAAAGAAAAGTTAAAAACATGAGCATTTGCAAGCATAAACTATTATGTAATATTGCAGCATGAATTTAAAAATAATGAGCAAGAGGGAAATTTTCAGTATTTTTGGTCTTAAATGTGTATTTACACAAATCATAAAAGAAAGTCTGAAAAAAATTTTGTATTTGTTCCTCAATTTTACATTATTCTCACAAATAAATAATTTAAAAGTTCATTTTACTTCTTACTGTGTAGGTGTATTAATGTTCCAATGCAATTTAAGTATCATAATAAAGTAATGAAGACTTTATAAACATCTTAAGAAGATAAAGAGTAATGTTTTATAAATTATATTAAGCACATCCACTGTAACTACATAGAGAACAGCCAAGTGTCTGAGGGCTTGTTTTGTATATGGCTTCTCATCAACGATTTTAAAGGAATTATATTTCTTGATGTAGTTATTTAGACATACATATCTCACAAATATCTACATATCTACACCCAAATATATAAATCTCACACACAGTATTTGTCACACCAACACCCAGCCATAAGTATATAAACATTCATGATTTTTCTTTTTGCCTTATTTGAAAAAAAAAAGTAAAAACATATTTTTGTTTTAAACCCTGGGAAAACCATATAAGAACTATTTTAACTAAGCTTTAAAAAAATTGAAGTGACAAAACTAAATAAGCTTGAAAATTTAAAACTTTCAAGACAATGCATTACGGTATTTGAAAAGAGCATTTCTGATAGGGTAAAAATTTATTCTTGGATAGAAAAATTATTGCTATCATTTTTCATCCATTTTCCCCCTTGGGATATATAGTCAAAGCTTCTTATTCTGAAGGTCAGAAAGGAGAAAGACATTTTAAAGAATATTTCATATGAAGAGTTTTGGATAGAAATATAAATGGAATCCTCTAACTGTTAGTTGGCACAATGCTCTTACTTGAGTTTCTCACAGAATCATTTTAATAGGTGTGTCACTGACTTTTCCGTTGACCAATCTCTCATGCTAAGTCCCTTACATTTCAAATAGAAGCACCTTCTTTGCTGGACTTAATGGAAGTGTTCCTAAAGCATAACATGGCATCAGTAGTTGATTGTCACATAGTGAAATTGCTATAATGAGAACTAACTTATAATCACTGCAAAAATAATATGCATTTGATCTCAATAAGTATGCATTTATCTTATGTCACTACTGTAATTAAGAAGTAAGACAGTGGAAATAGTATTCCTCAGGATAATTAGAGTTTCTCAGGACAGAAATTATTATGAAAAACTAGGCTTCAAGCTGAGTGCCTGAAGAAATACAATAATGCCCTAGAAATCTAGCACCTGCCCTCCAGCGTTGTTATTTTAAGATAGAATTTTAGGGCATCTATGAGTGCCTAAATAAAAATCTACATTAAGAGTATGATGTTATTTTTATAGTACATGCATATGCATATTATTATTTTATTAAGGCATTATTAGAATGGTGTTGAAAGATTTTGTAGCAGAGATATTTTATATCCTTTTATCAGAATTTCCTTAGGAGAATGTGCCTTGTTTTATGAAGGAAATATAAAACTTAATGCGGGGCAAGTAGAAAATCTGCTGTTAGGAGAATGGAAGAGAAGATTATCAGCTGAGGTGTGCTGCTGCAACTATGTTTCTTTTGGTTTGGGAAAAAATGAAACAAAATAAAAATAAAAGCAACAAACAAACAAAACAACAAGCACTCTGATCATAACGGTTGCAATCACCATTATATGGAGCAGCATTTTGCACATGCCTTACTGGTTAGAAACAAATTAGTGTCTGTGTGTGGTCAACTGACCACACATTAAGAAAAATGATGCTGCAAGCACAGCTTAACCGTGCAGCACTGGCTTGCTAAAAGCACCTATTGTGCAGACAGAGCATTTTAGTGTTAGCATTTCTGGACAAATAACTTGCTTGAAAAAGAGGCAAAACATATTCATGGAGTGTAAGGAGAGTAAAATGAGTCAAGAATGATTGTGTCATAAGGTCCAAATAAGGGAAATCAAAGGTATGCAGAATGAGATGGTAGCAAATTTTTTTTTTCACAAAATGCATTTCAGCTATGTTTTCTGTAACAACATACATTGCAGTGATTATCCTCCATTTTGTTTATTTTCATTGGCCCTTTATTATTATCTACTAAGACATCTTTTGGTTACTACTACTCAGAGTATGAGCCTGAGAAACTAGGGCCAAGTGCTATCTGGAGGCAAAATGTGTAGATATGGGACTCATTGCACACAGAAATATTGCAGCTCAGAGATACACACTGATTCAGATAAGTGCAGCTTTATAGTATCCATGACAAAGACAAGTAAGGATATCTTACTTAACAGATAAGTTTAAAAAGAATATCAAGTGCCTGCATCAAGAAGACCACTGCAGCATGCCTTCCAGAGGAATCTCCCAAGTCTGGGTGCTGCTGTTGCTTTTGTGCAACAGCAGCCTGGACCATTTTTACTTGTCTTTGGCGTATCTACCTCTGTTCCTCCTTCAAGTCTTAAGGTTGTAAATTCATTATAACCATCATATAAAATCTATTTGCTTCTTTTTTTTTTCTGTGAAAAGCAAAAGGAAGTTTGTAGGCAGTCTCATTGTCTAATTGTTCAAAAGAAACATAAACAATAATTCAGACTTAATTAGCAGTTAGAATGGACATATTCCAAATTTGGGAAGATATGACCTAGAATAAATTCATTTAGTGCCACATCCAGATTTCCAGACAAAAACAGGTGACAAAAACAGTAATATATAAATCTTCATAATAGAGAGTTTGGTAATATAATTTAACCTCATGGATAATCTAACCATGGGGAACAGTACTGTTGTAATAACAAATGGGAGAGAAGTAAATGTAGACAGCTAGCTATCTGCCTCAAGTCTTTAGTTGCATGTTATATGATTAATTCATTTTGATAACATTTTCTTTTGTTTCTCTCATGAGGCTGTTAATTATCAAAGAATTGGAAGACTGGAAAGGGAAAAAGGAATGAAATTAAAATTAGAGGCTTTATCATATAACAAATGAGGCATCAACTCCCTAGATGGTGTGAAAATATTTATGCTACTAATAGTGAAATAATTTTTTTTTCTCTTCCTAATTTTTTGAGAAACACAACGTCATTGTATGTGGCAATGTAATCCAATAGCCACAATGTATCAAACAGTATCTTAGATTGCAATTAAATTTTTAAAAAGATTTATTTACTTTTATTAGAAAGTCAGAGATATAGAGAAGAGATACAGAAAGATCTCCCACCCATTGGTTCACTCCCCAAATGGCCACAAATGCAGGTGTTGAGCCAATCCAAAGCCAGAAGTCAGGAGCTTCTTCTGGGTCTCCCATGCAGGTCCAGGACCCCAAGGGATTCAGTCATTCTCTACTGCTTTCCCAGTCCACAAGCTGTGGAGCAGCCTGGACAGGAACCAACACACATGTGGGACCCAGGTGTGCAAAAGGAGGACATTAGACACTAGGCTGATCCCTTAAAATATATTTTTACATCATATATTTAAAAGTACACACTATCTATTTGATTCTTTGTGATTTTAAGTGATTTAACAAATCATCTACAGAAGAATTAGATGTGTAGTTTATGTTAAGAAAAGCAGAATAACAACTAATAGAAGACACAATAGAGATGTGCATAATGGAGCAATTAATTAAGCTTTCATTTGGGACATCGCCATCCCAGGGTGCCAGATCTAGCTGCAAATTCCTGCCAATGTATCCAGAAGACAATAGATAATGACACAAGGACTTGAGTTCTTGCTGTTTTCATGAGTGACCTGGATGAAATTTTTGCCTCCTCTCTTTGGACTGGCTTTGTCCTGGCTGTTGCACACACATGGGATGGGAACAGTAAACACAAAACTTGTCTCTCATTTCTTACAGTGTTTTTTTTAATAAATTGGGAAAAAGTCTTAATTGAAAGCAACAGAAGAATGCTACCTTATTTTAAGACAAGTTTGTGGCCATTCTATGATACAATATGTTTTAAGATAAACAACAGGCGTGAGTATTGTGGCACCAAAGGTGAATATATAGCCTGCAATACCTGCATCCCATGTGAGTGCCAGTTCAAATCTTGTGTGTTCTGTGTCTGACCCAGCTGTCTGCTAATGTCCCTCTGAAGGCAGCAAATGAAAGCAGCAGTTCAAGTACTTGGGGTCCTAC